TGTGAATAACTATTAAGCCTACTCTGGACCTAACAGAAACAACAACTATTCTTTATAGAATTGAAATCTATAATGCAAAACAGAATAGTAGTGTCTTGCATATTAAGCCATGTTCTAAGTTCTAAGGACTAGCCATCCAATCTTGGTGCATGTAACTAAGTACATGTTCAAGTGAATGAGTCCATTCTTAGTTCAAGGAGGGTATATAATATACCTTTCAGATCGAGTTCCAAGCAATGCACCCGAGAGATCAGTAACTAAATCCAAACTTTTGTGAAAGCTCCCGTCAAAGTCCCCATAAAAATCAATCTGGAGACAAATTTTATATAATAAGAAAAGACAACGCTCATAGTCAATTCCCAAAATAAAGGAAATGGGAATACCATAAGGCAGCAAATAGAAAATTTCCTAATTCCTTAAGGTATTGATAGATGCATGATAATCAACATAGAAATCTCCATATTTACGGTACATATTATGTTTTCTGAAGAGCTCAATCTTAACATGGATTTAAAAACTAAAGGATTTCCCAGAGATAGAAGTTCTCTTCTCATGAATCCCTTCATTCTTTTCGCACACCAACAAAAATCACTACACTATTGATGCATTATCTACAAACTCATGACTAGTACTATCCCAAACTCAATTATAAACGAGTTTACAGATTGAATGATCCTTCAGTTGTGACACAAGAAATTGGAAACAAAAATCTCAACAGAGATACCAAGTGTTTTACAAGAGAAAAAGTAAAAAAAACTAATGACCAATGCAAATTCAAAAGAGGAAAAATAAAATCTCAGCATACTAAACCTTGTTTGTAATAGTGAGGCCGAAGACAAGGATAACTTACAGCCTCTTTGGCTTGAAGCTTCTCAGCCCACGCATTCATGGTATATGGATCATTAACAGCCACACAAATAACAGAATCTATCCCCTTAGCCTTAAACTTATCAATATTCTCCTTGTAAGGAGGAACATGTTTGTTAGAGCAAACTCCTGTGTATGCACCCTGAGAGATAGCCAAAGCATAAAAATCATTACTCGGAAATAAATATAGCAACAACAAAAAAAAATCACATTTATTTTTCAAACAATTCCATTTCCTAGACCAAAGGAAACAATGTTTTTTTTGCAAAATAGCACCCAATTTTACAAAACTAGAACAAGAAGCAGCAAAGAGAGAGGCCAAAACACATAAAATGAGAAAAAAAATGGAAATGAACTTACTGGTAGCCCAAAGATGACAACCTTCTTGTCCTGAAACATGAAGGAAAAAGGGGACATTAGCAATTGATGAAAAAGAAAAAAAGGAGAGAAAAAGGAGGGACCTTGAAGATGTCTTTGAGAGGAGTGGTGGAGAACTTGGAAGCAATACCCTCGTCCCAGGTACGAGCTTTCTGGAGAGAAACATTGGGTGCGGCAGAGACTATGTCAGTGCCAGTTGCAACCTTGGCGTAAAACCTCGTACCAAGAGCTGCAGACACCGATTTGATGAGCCTAGAACCTCCTCCTTTCACCATAGCGGATGCCATCACACAATTCTCCCACCCTCCTCACTCAACTCTCAATTCAATCCGATACAACAACGTAACATTCTCACACTATGGGCCCTTTCTTAGGGTAGGCCCACTCCATTTAATCTAGCCCAACTCGGGGAGTATGGGCTAAATACTTTATCCACGTTTTCATTGGAACGGATCTAAAGCATGTATATTTAGTTTTTTTAAAAATAGTATAATTAGTTAATGCGTTGCAATTAGATAAATATTTAATATTGTATTATGAATTTAATATTAAAAATTATTGAAATACATAGAAAAACTATATATGTGTAAGTTTAAATGAGCTCAATATAATTTTTTGTAAACATCTTCTAAATAGCCAATTTAATTTTTCTTAAATGTAAGCTGAAGGAAGATTTTTGTTAAGGAAAATATCCTAAAAATATACGAAGCGTCCTTGCCACTTTGCTACCGTGGCTGTTTGTGTTATTAATGACTTGATCCAGTCAATATGTCCCTCAATTATTTATAGCAAAGAAAATGAAGGTCCTTAATCTGCTTTTGGTTGTAAGTTGTAACATGCAGGCTTTAATGAACTTGAAAGCAATATGGGCATTGATATTTTCATAAGACAAAACATTAAGCGTATCATGATTCATGATTGATGTGATGCAGCATATTTGATATATTTTATTTTTATTATCAAATATTTTATTTATATTTTAAATTTTAACTTAATTTCTCCTCAATTTTTTCTTTTTGTATTTTCATATTTTAACTTTAAATAATAATAAACAAAAAAATTGAACTCTCATCATCATGGATTTAAAAAAAAAGCAGCTCAAAATATAAAGGAATTAATTATTTTTTATACAAGATTATTTTTCTTTATTTTTAAAATATTAAAATTTTATTTATAAATATTTATAATAAATAAAAATTAATTAAATTAAATATAAATTTAAAAGAATCCTTAAAAGGTTTCTCTCGAAAAAAAATTATAAAAGCACTATTGTGTAAAATAGCCAATATTTTATATATTAGGATTAATTTTGTTCTATCATATCAATGTTATCTAATACAATTACAATTTTCTATATTTTTATTGACAAAATAAGGAAGAAAAGATTATTTAATTTCTCTTGTATTTTTTTATTTTGACATTTTTATTCTCATTCATTTCTTTTATCCCATGCTTCTTATTCAATTTTTCTTTCACTTGTTTCTTCTACCATCTTACACCGTCTTATTAAGACAAAAAACTTTAACAGAAGTGGTACTTGGTGGCGATAAAACTTTTGGACTAAAAAGGAAAAGCTTCATAAAGAAAATCATTTTTGTTGAGGGTGTTGGCTAGAAGATAAATTTCTTGGAAGAACCCTATTTTTAGAATAATAATATAAAAGGAATGTCTTGTAACTTGTAAGAAAAGAGAAGCGAGTGAGATCCCATGCATGGCTTGGCCATGCGACAACCGTAATAAGACATTCTTAAACAGAAGATCATGGGAGGTAGGTAGGCCGAGAATAATTCATTGGAAATTTCATTATTATAGGCAAACCCCAAAGCTTATGCTTCCAATCCCAATCATATACAACACTTTACTTTTCCAACGGTGCAAATACTAATAGGATCTATCTAGTAAATCATAAAGTGATAAATGTATATTATTTTTTTAGTGACTTTTCCTTTCTGGTTGTCTTCCAGGAAAGCAATTGTTCCAAGCTTTCTCTATACTATTCACTATCAAAAGTCTATAGTGGAACATGGTCTTCTCAAGTCCACAAAAGGATCTATAAATCCATATTCACATGCAGCCTTATCTTTCTCCAGGAATTATATTATTAGTTAGTTTCAATATTTTTAAATAAATATTTGGAAATAAAGAAAAAATAATAAAATATTTTCTCTCTTAAATTAAAATTAATTTATATTATCTCATCCGTTTTACAATTTTGTCTAATTAATTTTTCATAAATTACATACTTAAATTGGTTTTAAATCTTGAAGGTTTTTTTCAGTGTAGTTGATTTTGATAAAATTAATTTTAAATCTTTATTCACATAATAAATATCAATACTTTTTATACTAAAATGTACATCACGGTGGAATTTTTTTTTCTTCTTTTTTTATCATTTTGGGAAGACTTGAAAAAAAAATCCAAATTGACTCTTTTTTCTACAAAGAACATGCTCTGAAATTTCATGAGTTGAAACTTGGAAGATTCTCCATATGGAAGACATATGTGAAGACAAAGACTACACGATATATTAGCACTAAATGCATGTTCCCATTGGTTCGATATCTTAAATGTATTTTAGTATCTTGACAAATTAATCTCAATCTTTAGTTCTCAAACCAGAGATATTCTAAATTCACTAAAAAAAATTAAATCTGATCGGAGAGATTTTGAGCTCTCCAGATGCTTTTATTCCATAAACGCAAATTTTAAATAATAAAAAAGGTGTGATTGATTATAAAAATTCAAAATCAAGTTTATTTTGAAAACAAATTTAATTAGATGTGAAAAATAGAACTTTTTTGTTAAGTTAATAATTGACTAGAAACTTAAAATATAAGTTGTTTCCTTTTAATTTCAATTTTATTTATAAGTAAAATCAATATCATTTCAAAACAAGTTTCCAACACTCATTGATAATAGATTAAATAGATTGAAACTTTGTAAATATCTAGCCTTAACTTATGTTTTGGTTTGGTATGAAATCAATTTATACTTCCTCTCTTTTTTCCCCTTTATTTCCTTTTCTTTTTCATTTCCAATCTTAACACATAAAAGCATATGAACAGGATATATTAAGTTAATGGATATATAAAAATAAAAAACAAAGGATAATATGTAGTTATATAATGAGTAGAAAGGAAAACAAAAGCAAAACAAGGAAGGAAATAGAACTCTCACTAATATCTTTGCAACCATATGACAAACTTATCACAAGAAACCAGATAACAATGAAATGCTTGTCTGCAGAGGAAGGTTACAAAACCTTGGATGAACCTTCCTATTCCTATATGGTACCTAAAGCCTAATATTTTAGGTATATATGGTTTTTCCCATGTACATTTACCTATATATAAACAATACCAATTTATTAACCACATAATTATTGCCTAAAGGCTAAAGAATTAGATCCACAAATTATTAAACTTGGCAAACAAATTAATCACTAGATTTTGTAAGATTATGCAGGTGTTCACAAGGATCCTCAGCCATTTCTGGATTTGAAAGAATTCTTGTTAGGAACTTGAGAAACCATTCTGGTTTCTTGAGATTGCTTTTGATGTTTTGCATATGAATTACTGGACCTGCCTTTCCTCTGCTTCCTTCTTGGCTGTGTTGCCTGGGGGATAAACACACCTGTTCCTTTGCTTTCTCTTCTCAAAGCATGCTCATAGAGGAAAGCAAACTGTGGAGGAGGATGAATTGCCCCAGAAAAGCCCTGAAAATTAGTTTAGCCATGTTAAGAATCATGAATTATAACATACAAAAACTTCCTCCCCAAAGTGGAGAAAAAAAGTTTGTGATGCATGTTTTTCTTTTTTCTTTTTTATATGTAAGAATCGAATTTGATAGAAGATTTATAATAATTCACGCACTCTGATCAACCTTATGACATGCTTGGTGGAAAAAAGTGAGTGGTGCATGTGTTTGAAGAGATGAAAGGAATAATTAAAGAACCTGAAGAGAGTGTGCAGGACAAGAAGCAAGAGGGTCTTCCTCTTCATCCATAATTAGGAGAGAAATTTCCTTGCTCAAATCTGCAAAAAAGAGATCATCTTCCAGTTCCACTGCAACCTCCATACTAGTGTGATCTAATTGGCAACTAAAAGGGTTCGCTAATTTGGCATGAAACCAAGTACAAGGGTTTCTAATTTTACTTTATTTTTTTCTCCTATTCTCCAAAACTTATGGATATACAAGTTTATATAGAGAAAAAAGGTAAGGAAGGGTGAGTTGAGATATAAGGGTGATCATGTGGGTTGGTGGGGTCATGGTGACAGTTGGCCAATCTTGCTAAGGTGTACATAAGGGTTGCACTAGCAATTAGCATCATGGAAATGTGTAGTGATATTATCCTATTTGATCAAAAGTAATGAGAGGAACAGTAGGAAACAGCCCATGTCCAGATCATATTCAATCCTGAAATACACATGGTTGTGGATGGGCCTCACTCTCTCTCTCATCTCATTCAACAGTAAGTTATGGCTCTAATTATTCAAATGCATAGGCGACAAACGAATGTTTGTCCCAAAGATTCTTATCCGTTCCCATCTCATGTGGTTGCTCATGGTTAAGATTAAACCAACCAGTATAAGTCGGTGGATCTACTTGTTTAACTGCTTGCACTGAGGATCCACTGGAATCCAACACTCATCACTCGTGAACTTTTGAATCCTAAATCCTAATCTTTTTAACAGAATACCATGATTAATTAATACATACTAAGATAATATACATAGGATATAAGATATTCTTATATTCTCACTTAATCATAAATTAAGGAGAAATATGTACTATACTTTTATCTAATCATAACAATAAGTTTATTAACATTTATAATAATTATTCTAAAACTCAAAAAATACTAGTCACATTCTCTCTGTTACTATATAGTTAATATTGTCTACAATTAATTAAATGTTAAAATTATGTTTTAGTCTTTATAAATCTATTTTTAATTCCTATAGTTTAAAATATTTTTTCTTTAATTTTTATACTTGTATTTTTTTTTAATTATTTTAGTCCTTATAATTTAATATAAATTTTTTAGTTTTTATACTTACAATTTTTTAATCTTTTTAGTTTTTTTTTGTAACATTGTCTCTTTTGTGTTAACATGACAATAATATTAATTCAATTTTTTTATCTTATTTTAAATTTATTTTATCAGAATTACTTTAAATTAAATCTTTTGATGTTTTGTGTCAAAATTAAATATCTCTAACATATATATAT